AAATGACTGTATAAGTTTTGCATATCTATATAAAATAATACACACTACTTATACAGAGCTTGATATAAACGGTTGTGGGCTGATCAATTAAAAAATAAAGAAAAGAACAGAATATTACTAATAAAATGCATTATATATGATATGGTGTACTTAGTTAAATAAATATCTGTGTAATTTTAAAAGGTCGTATAGGAAACACATATTATCAGTAGGTACACAGTGTAAGTAGTTTTTTAAATCGGTGTCATTATGAACCTGCATCCGTTACGGGTAGGTCGGATAATTCGTTGGCATAAAAAGCTTTGCCATGACCGAAATGCGGACACGCTATCTTTTGTACGTCAAACGCGTACGTTTCTTGTTCTGATAGAAATTTTCTTCGAAACTCACTACAGGTAGAATATTTTCTAAAGTGATCAGCTCTTTGATACTGGAGTACTATTTTCAAAATGTAGCAAAAGAGTTAACACTTTTCATATATGATGAGATCACCGGAACGCAATTGTCTGTTATACATCTGTGGAACAGTTTCGTTCTGTTCTGTGTCTGACACGCTGTCGACGTGTGTAAAGCATGCCACTTTTCCTTGACTATACGAGTAGTTTTTAAATGTGTGCACATTGATGGAAAAGTCCTTTGGGACACAGCTGGTGTTCGAACCTACGACCTGAGGGATGACGCACGCTCAAGCCAGTAGTCCAAGACTTGTTTAAACAACAGACGAACTACTCATTGGTGTTTAATCAAATCTGAGAATTCGGCCTCTTGTAATAGAATCACTCGCTCTTGACATGCCATTGTAAATGAGTTCCCACGATTAGAACTAGAAGACACCGTTCACGGTGACTTGTCCTTGAGCTTACGGTAAATTAAGTGACAATCATAGCTTAAGTAAACTGAAGCCAGAAAATATGATGGTTTTTTTTACAATACGATGCAGAAATACACAGGAAAGTACCTTACTTAAATCGTTCCATGTGCACCTTTAAAAAAGAAACTCCAGTTCTATGTGGAACACGTTTAGAAATATTTTAATTAATTAATTCAGTTAAAAACCGATAAATATATACGCAAGAACTCCAACGAAAACTGTCCCCTAATTTAGATTTTTAACAGCGTTTAGAATAACAATGAACTTACAAACGACATATCGTCAATCAATGGTCTGTGCTCTTTGAAGATACAGCATCTTAGCTACGTCACCAATCATTCAATCTCCGACGTTAATACCATGTTATCAAGATTCAATATCATTTACATCATAGCCGTTGTTAATACATTCTATAAAGAGACTAACAGAATTAACATTTGCATTTATCATAACTTCACTGCTGTTCATATTGATGAGGACCTAAAGCTTTGTAACTGAAGATTCAAAGTTATTTGCATTTTCAATAGAGTTATTACAATCTATACTAAGTCTTCCAAGCGTGTCATTATTCGTTCTTACTGTCTCTTCAGCAATAACCTCTATTACAGGTGCATTTGAAATACAATAGAGTGGAATATTAACTAATACACTCTTATTTTCTAAACTACTACCTCATTGATTTTTAGTTAAAGGATTATATGCCGTAACATTCAGTTATAAAGCCCATTTTGGTTTGACAACTTTCAACACGCAATTTTCCGCTTGCAATCAAGGACACTGTATGTGAATAGTGAAATTGATTCTATTGCGATTATGATTTTAAATTGCAATCGGATAATCGTGGTATATAGTGTTTACACACGAGTTAAAACTAGATAACTGATAGATTAAAAACATGAAAATTTATAACACAACTCTCCCAAGCATTTTTAATTAATCGTTAATTTATAGTGTGCTACAGAAGTTAATTAAATATGTTTATGAGTAAAGTTAGATAACCTAGTCAAAAAACTTTAATTTAAATTCTGGAGGTCGTTATGATTAACTTTAATAGATATAGAACAAAAAAGAACGTCAGAGAAAAGATAGAAATCACCAAAGGATAAATATATTAGCAATTACACCTATATTTTTTATCTACCGGGCATTAAAGTGTCCATAACAATTTCTATCAACACGACGCAATATTTTATTTATAAACCATTCCAACCTTCAGGATACGTCGTACATCAAACATGCTTTAGTAATAACTTAACATAACAAACAGTATTGTTATGTGTATCCAAATCTTTGCATAACAAAATATTATCTCGCACAGAATCACAATAACCGATTATATAAACAGAAACTGTTTTGAAAACTTAGCATTGATTGCAGCTGCAAGTTCCTCGGCCAATACCCTATTGTTCCTTAGTCGTTTCTCTAATGCGTTCTTAAACTAGTCTATGGTTCTAAAGAGGTTCGATGAAAAACCTCCTTTGGCCAGCCATAAAAAGTAGACCGTGTTCATAAAAAGAAAAAAACTCGAGTGCAGTTCCCGCGTAATAATCGTCGTGTCATTAATAATTATAGATCAAAAAGCGTGGAATTTTTAAATTATTTAGAGCGTAATAATTGTATATCAATATGGAGGTTGTGTAGAATTTAATATGAATTCCCTTGAATTGTTTTTTCTTGTTGTGCTTTTGGTTTGTGTGTGTTCGTCTCTTTCGGAATGGTCACTACGTGAATATAATGAGGTAATGTATTTTTATTGGGCTTATTAGTAAAAGCCTTCTTAGCAAACATGTGATTTTTTTAAGTCTCACACGCAGTATATAAAAATCCTTAGCAAAGAAAATTATTTGCCTATTATAAGCCATCCACTGAAAATATGTTAGAAGCGTGACATCAGTTTGCATGTCAACAGTTGTGACGCAACGCATTGTTAAGAGCTGAAGGAAAACCGGTCAAGGATTCGAGTTAACTTCACTTAAATCTTATTACTTTAGTTTTAACTAAACCCTTGTATGATCCCAGATACGTCATGCGTGTACTAATTGTTTAGCCACTTATATAATTTATAACTATGCTTAATTATACATCAACCCCTTCCTCGGTTTTTTAGTAAAAAAATATATATATGTGTTCGTTATCCAAGTTCAGAAATAAAAATGAAATTCAAATTAATTTATTATGCGATTTGATTAATGAATTACAGTCTCTTCTAATTGAAATAATATTGAGGATGCTACAAAATTCACAATTTTACACCATTCCGACCTCGAAGGTCCAACAAGTACAGGGCAAAAACCGTCCGTGCCTACACAATAGGCGATAAACTCCTCTGATTGAGTTAGGTTGAGATCGGTTCCTGTTTCATTGGTCAGTGAACCCAGGACCTCATGTTATTATAGAATATATACCAGTTCAAATATATAGGTAATCACAATTATGATTAAATGGCTGATTCTGGACATCCACAATTCAATAAAACACATATTTATGGTTTTTTTTTAAATTTTAGTATTATCTGTTGTTCATGCAGGTGTCCTGTCCAAAGATTTGCTATAGTATGTTAGATTATTGCGCTATACATTGCTTGACCAGAAATACTTTTAAAGTTCGCATTTGTATATTGAAAGAAATGATTTTCTACAATGCTCCCATTATTTAAATCGTTAAAGACATTAAGAAAGGGGATAGTATAAACGATGTGAGGTTGATTTCAAAACTGGGGTTATTAAATTGCCTCACTCCAGCTTACGGTCACAACCTGATAGAGGTGATAACGTTGATAACATATCTTAATCCCTTCGTCTGTCCAAACATAACCGCGGTGACCGTTATTTGCACTATTTTGGAATCCAAACATTGAAGAAGACAATTGTGCTACAATTCGTACCAAAGTTCTTAATTAGTTAAATTTATTTATCTGTTGGTTGGGATGGGGTCGTTTAAAGTCAGTAACAAAACAACTTATGAAAAGTTTTGTTACTGACTTTAAACGACCGCTCTATTAGAGTTCACAGTTCAGTATCTATTTATTAAAAGAGTAGTATTTTCTTGAGTTTTAAAATGTATTCCGTGTAAATTTTAAGTAAGGTGCGACGATGTTTTATCAGTTTCACGCACCACTTGCTCGAAGGAAGTTAAAAAAACCGGTGAAAAACTTTAATTTATTTCTTGAATATTAAATTAGGTGTGTGGTGACAAAATTGTGTTTCTTATCGTGTAAGTCGATGAAGGTTTTGTCGTATGGCGAACAATATTGTCATTGTCGCTGGTTTATTATGGTCAAGTCAAAAAATATAACCTACTAGCTACCCTCGCGAACTTCGTTTCGCCTTAATATGATTTTTACTTATCCTGATTTTGCCGGGTTTTCCGTGCAATATTTCCAATTTGTCTCTCCATAAAAACCGTCGTCAGAGTTCAAGGAATGAATAAAATAAAAATTATTTATTCGAATTGTTCCAGCCGTCCTCGAGTTTTGCGTTTTGCAACGTATTTTGTGATTCATTTTTATTTATATACTAGCTGCGCCCGTGAACTTCGTTTCGCCTTAATATATTTTTTTTTTGTTTACCTACCTTTTTAGTAGCTATACGTACCAAGAGATTGTTCGCTTTTCTGGAATAAACACCTCAGTACTAAGTAAAACTATATTTTTTATGTTTCCAATTTTTCCCTCCATAGAATCCTTTCTCAGAGTTTAAGAAATGAATAATATAAAAAAATTACTTTAATTTGTCCAGCCGTCTTCGAGTTTTGCACTTAGCAACATCTTTTTCGATTAATTTTTATTTATATATCTAGATAGTAGGTAACTTTAATACATTTAAGAACGTCAAAAATTAATTAAATTGCTCAAAATTTACATTCACCAGTTCTCAAATCAAGGGCATAGTATCACATCTGCTTTTTGCAGATGCTTCTCCTGTTTTCCACGAGCTAAAGGCATGTGCATTTAAACGTAATTAACATTAGAGTTGCGTTTAATAGCAGTTCTGTCGTTCCGGCACAGTGGCTGCAAGGTCAGCAGACGACACTAATTTATCATACGATTCTTATGCACTTGCTTTTTGCTTGTATTACTGTGTGTGCAAAACAGCTCAAAACGCTATAAAATAAAGTAGCGTATTTTGAAATGAACGGGATCGTATATGACCCGTATGGAAAACTACTGAAAGATAGTCACGGTGTAAGCCTGTAGGGTTCCTTTCTTTGTTAAAGGAATATTGAATACATTTTTAGTAGAGGACATTACGTATATATAATAATCTAATTTAATACATTTTATTCACAGTGGTTGCCTGGAAGAGATCGCTCGAAAGCGATAAGGCCGCCAGTTACCCTCCAAAATTCATTTAATTATGTTCAATTTTTATTATGTTAACGCAACGAATTGTTAATAAATAATTAAGTAAATAATAAAGATATAGCAAGTACGTCATCTATAATAAATAATGTGTTAATTAATATTCAATTAAGTAAGTAGTTGGTTGTCAAGAAAGATCTTTTCAAAGGAAAACAATCTATGTTCTACCTATGTACAGTGTCTTAAGACTTTTTCTGAATAAACTTTATGCCAGCGTAGTCTTAATAGCTCTCTTGTAAATGTCTTATCCAAGGCAAAACGCTTATTAGCACAAACCAACTATAAATATAATCTATGCAAATATGACGGTTGTATTTTATTGGTTTTATTTTATTTGAAGTTGTTATAGCACTAACTGAAGGGAACTTACGGTTGCTATGTTGATAAAGTGAAACTTGAAATTTATATTTCGTTAGCTATATTTATTTTATGTTAGCCCACTTATGAATTGGTACTTGCATATTTTAAAATATACAGTTTTACCGTACAACCAACCTTTTTGCAATTACAATTATTTATTATTATTTTATCTAAAACCTATGAATTTTAATTTTCCTTTCAATAGTTCTATATGTTCTTGCCAACGATAAAAAGCAAAAAACTGGCCTGTTTCTACCCTAAAAAATTACCTTTTAGTAACAATTGTGATTCAACGTTGAACAACCGACAAAGATATGATATCGTATTTGAACACTTATGTGAAGGACACTAATTCATAATCTGTATTTCTATGAAAAGACTAGGCTAGTGTACGTATTCAATAACTAAGGAGCAAATGACTCGGCAATAATTTATCTTCACCTCAATTTTAATATATTTGTTTTTTTACAGAGACTCTCGAGAAAAAATGGCGTCAAAGAAGAAGAATCCAACTGGTATTGGGATCCACCGCCTCAGACTTCGAAACCTTTCGACCATGAAGTGGAAAAACAGTATAAACTACAAATTCAAGCATTACAAGACGAAATATCCTCCATAAAAGATCGGGTCACCAATGATAGTAGACCTGATAATGACGAGGAACTGAACAGACTTCGCGAAGAAAATAAAAACCTCACGAATAGCTTAGAAGACTTGGATTGTCAACACCAAACAGCTATGGAAAAACTTCTGTCCCTTAAAAAAGAGTTACAGAAAAATTTCGAGCTCTTAAAGCAAGAACACGAAGAAATGAAATATGCCAATGTTGAGTATTCGGAAAATAACAAACGTTTACTAGTGCAATTGAACGATAGAGATAAAGAGATAGAGAATATGAAATCTTTACACAGTGATTATGAAACGCTTCATCATAAATACCAAAATTTAGAAAGAATACACAGCTTACTAAGAGAGAACGCAGAAAAGTTTCAAGAAGAAAACCAAGAGCTCCACGAAGAGGTGTTTAAATTGCAAGAACAAGTTACAAAATTGGAACATGATATTGAGGTCATCTCGAAAGAAACAGAAATGTCTGAAACGGTTCCTAAAGTAAAATACGAAGAACTTCAGAAAAAGTTAAAAGACATGCAAGAAAGGCGACCCACCAATCAAGATCATTTAGACGAAATAAACATCGATGATAACGCAAAAAGTGTCATAGAAACCCTGAAACGTGACATCAGCGATCTAAAACGTAAATTGGCGGAACGTGAAAATACTGATGTAACAGATAATAAAACAGTTAAGCCCGAAAAAATCATGCAGCTTTATAATCGCTATGTTAATTTTGATTTACCAGTTGATTATGTTGGGGAGATGCCATCTGTAGCAGATAATATAGTATTGTTTAAGTTGGAAAGTGTATTTAAAACTATTAACGCATTTAAAAAAGAAATTGAAACGTTAGAACAAAAATTATCAGAAAAAAAGCTTAACATTAGTCAGTTAAAGACGCAAATGGAAGATCTGACTGCGGAAAATGAATATCTGACATCAGATATCCAGCATTTTGAAAGTGAATTAGATGAAATGAAGAAGAACAACGATTTTCTCATTTCAGAAATAGCAGCCCTTAAAAACACTTCCAAACTTGAACCAATAATAGAGACACACGAAGATAATTTGGTTAAGTTAGAAAGTGAATTGGCTGATTGTAATCAAATTAATAAGACATTTGAATCAGAAATAATGAGAGTAGAAAAGGAATTGTTTGAAGTAAAGTCAGAAAAAATCATTCTACAAGAAAGTTTAAATGATTTGCGGCAGAAATATACATCAATGATTAATGAATTAGAAACTTGCAAAAATGAGACGAAGGCAGTAGAAGAGCTTGAAAGCAGCACTAACGTTACACAAAATGCGAAACTCTTAAAAGCATGTGATGACATTGATGATTTTAAAAAACGATTATCAAATGCTACTTCAAAGAACGAACAACTCGCTATTGATTTACATATTGTTGAGAATGACAAGGTGTTACTTACAAAAGAGGTAGATGAGTTAAAAAATGCGTTAGCGGAAAGGTCTTCTTCAAATAAAGAGTTAGAATCTTTAAAAGCTGTTTTAGACCATAAGTTAAAAGACGTAGAAAACAAATTAGACGCCATGATAAAACATAAGCAAGATCTAGAAAATGAAAACTTGGAGCTATTAGAAAAAGTGAAACTATTGGAGTCAGAAAAGAAAAATCAGGAGGATATTGAGATAACGCTTAAACAAAATAGTCAACTAGCGCTTGAAATTGATGACCTGCACAAAAAAAACTCAAATCTTTTACAACAGTTGAATGAACTTCGTAATGAAATTACACTTCTGGGACAAGAAAAAGATGATCTTATCAATGAGAACAACTCACTTAAACAAAATGAAGTTATTGAAACTGGTAATCTTACAGAGCTGAAGAAAATAACGAATGCACTGCAGAGTAAAACTGATGAATTTAACACCTTAAGTAATGAGTACTTAGCGCTAAAGAAAGAAAATAGCAATACCCTTGAAAATAAGGCGCACGTTGAAACAGAGTTGGCCAAAGCTGATGTTAAAATTTTACACATGCAAGAAGAATTTGATAAATTAATATCTGACTTAAATGTAAAAGATTCCATTATTGATACATTAAATATTACTTTAAATCAGAATCAAGTCACGCTGTCTACCCTCAGTCAAAATGTAGCCGATTTTGACAACAAAATTTCCATTAAAAATGCAGAAATTGATCGACTACAGAAATCTTTGCAGAAAGTTACAGACAACCTAAATAAAACAATTGAAAACTCAAACCATAGCCACGAAGAGCTTAAAAAATTACATTCTGAAAAAGAAGACATTAATAAACAAATATACACTTTAAATGATGAAATCGTGGCTAAAAATTCGGACATAACGAAATTAACTAGCCGACTTGAAGAACTTGATAAAGTGAACACACAGTACAAATTAAATTTAGATAATAAAGATAAAGAAATCAAAGAGTTGCGGCAATCAATCGTTGAATTAACTGATAAAATCAATTCAGAAACATCGACCGTTCATAACGATGTATATGCAAAATTGCTAGAAGATAAAGAAAGTACTGAGAACAAATGTGCTGAACTTAACAGCATCTTAACGTCAAAAGAAAATGAACTATCAGAATTAAATCGGAAGCTGAATTCATTAGAAAATACATGTTCAGAATATAAACTAAATATAGAGAAAGAAACAGCTGAAAAAGCGGAGTTAATAAAACTGGTAAGCCTTAAACATAATGAAAGTCTTCAATATCATGCAGAAATACAGCGTTTAAACCACGTTATATTAGAACAAAATACTGAGTTCAAAAAAATATTTGAAGAAAAAGATGCATTACTTAAAAGTCAAACCGAGAATTGTCATAACTGTGAGAAATTACTAGGCACAATTAAAGAGAGAGACGAAGCTATAGTATCGTTGAACCAGTCATTAAGCGATTACGAAAGATTGAAGGCAGAATTAACAACTGCTACAGACACGATGCGTAATTTAACTAAGAATTGCGAAGATTTGGACAAAAGCTTAACTATTCAGTTGGAGACCGTAAAGAAATTGACAGCAGAAAATATACAGGTACCTTTTTTTCCTATGCAACATTAAAATAAATTATTCTAAAACTTTGTTAGGTAAACCCCAGTTTGTTTGCTGATTTCTTTTATTGTATTCGATTAAATCAATGATTCAGAGTTCGATTTCTAAAGCATTTCTGAATTACGTAGAAAACAGTGATATGTCTGCATCATACATAAATTTTTTCAATCTTTGGTTCATTTTCAATTTATGGTATATGTTCCATTCTATCGGTTTTTGGTATTAAATACCGTCCACATCACATCATGCGCAATGTAAAGCTACGTATAAAATACCCAACAAACGAAGTTTCTTCGCCTTTTTTCTCATTCAGATGCCCCTTCATCTTAACCACTTTCTTAAAAACTAAATTTTCACTTTCGATTCAAAACTTTATACATTCATCTTACGCAACTTCTGAACCTGTCATATGCTGATACCGAAAGTATTATTCATGTGGAACAGTGGTTGAATTATATAATTGTAAATGTTATTATTGTAGAATCATTAATATGTCAAATGGACTAGACTAGCTGCCCACGAAGTAGGAAATTCTAGTGCACTTTCTCTTTTAAGAATACATCCTTTTTTAATATAAAGATTTTTTTCTTTTCTTAATTATGATACATTTTGTAGTTGTCAGAAAAAGAGCAAAACTCTACACGGGAGTTGGAGCGTTTACGTCATCACCTGATGGAGACAGAGGAGAGTTACACACAGGAGCTGATGATATCGGAGCAGAAGCTTACGGAGTGTCAGACGAGATTACACCAAGTTGAAGATCGGGCGAAGCAGACTAGTACTGTATATACTAGTAATAGGTAAGATTAAATAATCTAATTTCTTAAAACAATTTTATTATGTCAAAAAGACAATTTACATTACGAAATTCAACCGTACTATACTCCCTATAAAACTCAATCAATTATCCTTCTTCCTATGTGTTCTCAGAAACGTAACAGTATTGTTTGTCTTGTTTGGCATTTTTTGCTGTGAAAAAATTATAGTAAGGTAAAATTAAAGGTTTAAATTGGAATTAAACATTAAACCGACCTCAAATACCTGTCCATATTATACATGTCCTCTCTAGAAATGCCCATCAATCTAATCTAAAAATCAAATATCACAAAAACTACGTAACTGGAATATATGTTACCTGAATTGGATCATCTCCATATATATGGGTTTTAGTTAGTCGAGTAAATACAAGACACGGATTGCTATCGTAAAAGTTGATAACTGTTATATTTGTTAATCTTTGCTTAACTTCAGGTTTAATGTATAATAAAATTTCGTATATTTTCAGCATTCGAGCCAATCAAGAAGTCGAGACCCTTAGGAATCAAATCAAACTATTAGAAAAGCAACGAGAGGATGTTCAGTCCAGGTTAAGTGAAGCCGATGACGTGAGAAGTCGGAGTGAAGCGGCCATTACGAACCTTCAAGTGGTCTTAGAACAATTTCAATTAGGTAATTTTTTGATAGCATGAGTCACTCAGAGTATTCTTAATTTGCTGTAAGGCGCCTGCGGCCCTTCTAGTGATATCTCTCCACTTTGTTCGGTCTATAGTTTCCCTTAGCGCAGCTGTTATGAGGAGACCTGTGAGAATCGTGACTTGGTCACAATAGAGATTTGACCTGCCCTGCAGCATTTTGTCTTTTACCTTGCCACAACCAGGTTGTCCAGTTTATCTGGTTTGAGACGGGCGATTTGACAAAACAAAGCTAGAAATGTAAAAGATATTTTTTTTGAGATGTAACAAAAAACCGTTTTAATATGCAGCATATTCCATGATTTTTTAATAACGTATTTACTTTACAACCAAAACGGAGACATGTTTGTATTACGCAGTAGACGGTTTTCAGGATTTTATATTTATGTGAAGCGGGCGGGGAGAAATTAAATTATTCGAAGCGGTGAGTCAAGGGCGATGTGTACCTGTACAGGAAGTTCTATCTACTCGATTTTGTCAAGACTTTTATAACCCGATTAGCCTCCTGTACCTTACAAAGCTAAACATCTCTTGTTTCTTTATATTGCGTAATTCCTAAAAAAAACCTTTCAGACAAAGAACGAGACATACACGCTGCGACTGAGCGAATAAGAAATAAAATGGAAGAGATTAGAAGAGAAAATCAGGGTTTACAGGAAGAAATCGGTCGACTCAAAGCTAAATTGGAAGAATCCATCGCTGGGCTACAAGCGGCAGCTAGGCTTGGAGATCAGGTGGAAACTAAGACAGCTCAAATTAATGATTTGAAAGAACAAGGTAAGGAGTGCACTTTTTTATATTAGGAGGAATGTTTGTACGTAGAAAGTAAAACAAATTTAACTTTTCATATATTGTCGCAATTGATGGTATAATTCTCATACTACGCGAAAATCATATCTAAAAATATAATTTAATTATAAGATAGATTAAAATTTTATTACAAATTTCGTATTTTTTTCGATTTTTCTTCAACCCCAGTCTCAATAATAATTAATTGAAACTAATTGTAAAGTTGTGATAAGTAAATGCGTCCATTTATATTCCATACTATGTTTTACGTTGAATTGTTTTTGTGCATAAGAGACAAAATATTTCCTAACATAACTCTTGAAATGCAAAGAGAAATAATATTGATTATTTAATTACTTACTAGTTTATTATGGAGAAGAATAAGTATTTATGTAGAGCACATTTGACAGTTGAAGATACTGTGTTGCCAAAAATTAAATCTAGCATCACCTATTCGAGCGTTTGAGAATTGTGTTTGTCTTTGAATGGTCTAGCAAGTAAGTTTTAGTAGAATACTTTGTATGGTCGATTACTAATTTATCCTGTTTGTTGTTCTGTTTAATTATTGAAAGATTGACTTTATTTTATTTGAGATTGTTTAGCCTATTTTCGTTCCTAGTGTGAGTTTAAATAGATTTCCGTCCGGTGACTGACTAAATATCAGCTGGTAATTCTGGGCTAGTCACCCCCAGGTTACCAATTGGTATGCAGTCAAATGCCGTTTAGCTCCTTAGTACGACACAGTCATGTAAGTTTTATGTAGAATGTGTCGCTTTCGTGTGTCCCATTTTGATTTGTGTAGTCTGTCGATATGATATCGTACAACCTTGTGAATATATCTTGATTTCTGTGTTGATGTAAATATTTTTGACGTGACAACGTCTTATAATTCGATGGAGCCGGCTGCACGCACGAAAAAACATGACTCATGCGGCGTTACCTCGCTCTGAGGCGTTACCTCGCTCTGAGGCGTTACCTCTCTCTGAGGCGTTACCTCGCTCTGAGGCGTTACATTTAAAATTGACATAATTTTATTTATGCGTACAAATAAATGTAACTAGATCAATTCAATTGTGATTTCCATTTACCTCCTTCTCTATATCCATACAAAATACCTATCAAACAAATAAAATTTAATTTTTTTTTTGAAAAATGCAACCATCCCATCAATATTTTTTTATGACGTTGTCACGTTCAACTATCGTCAGTAAACCGACTTTACAGACAACCGATTTTTGCTATAAAAAGTCCATTATAATGTTAATATCATGTTTTGACAAACGCGACCATCACTTATCCCAGACAATAAATTGGGTATCACAGAAATCAATATATATTTTACCGGGTATAGTTGCATCTGTTGATGTTTTTTTGCTGCTGTAATTTTATATACGTTTGAATTTAAATATGTTAATCAAGTTTTATATATTCGCTTACTAAGAAAGTTTTATAATAATTCAAACGTTTTAAAAAATATGTTAAGCTTAAAGCATTTGAAGAATTAAGCTTGCACAGACTTCGGTCTAATCTCATTTGGTAACTGTGAGGTTTTCACACCGCGGTCAAATGACAGATTGACACTTGACAGATGTCAACCGTCACTTTGTACAGCGCACTCAGATTACCATATGGGGTTTGATTGAGGGGTGTTTCACATCGTGACGTCCTGTTTTTTTCACTTTTGTCTATGCCTGTGAATATGTTTTTTTATTATTAGTCGAAATTTAAATTACCTCTTTCAATATTCTACTATATACTCTAAAATGTAAAAAGATTATAGAAGTTTGAATGTCTTTGAATTTCGGCTAAACTTTTTAAGGCACTTGTTTGTAAGCATTGCACATTTTACATTGATATCTTAGGAATACAATCAAATTATTTGATATTCTTAGAAATCGATGTTTTTGAAGATCCCTTTCAGTTAAAGCCTAGAAGACAAACTGCGTCATTGCCTCAGAGTATTACTTCAGGTACTGGTGGTTTAATAATGGGAAAGAGGACCACTGTTTCATTTGATTTGTCTTCTTTATCTGCATGACTTGATAGATTTCATTTGATACTTACTTAGTATCTTTGACAACAATTTTGACATGGTTCAAATATTGTTTGCATATAGATTCATGAGTAAAATGTATTAAAATCTGTCGAATTTCATTAATTTGCATGACAGTCAAATATTCAGTGCCCTTAGTTCCCTGCCCAGTGGCTGAATAATACTTAGAGGCTGTGTTCGCACTTCATCGAGCAACGTGGACTAGTGCATGGTGAGAGTAGAATATACAATTTTATTGTGTTATTATTTAATCATTATTTTATTTTTAAAAGATTTTAAGTTAGTTTTTTAATGATTTTAGTTTGCATAGTATTTTTCTGTTTTATCAGATTAATACAAGAACTTACTTTCGGATAATATATATTATATACTTTTGTGGGTCGTCGTAAAAAGAACTCATAAAACCTTTTTAACGAGATCAAAAATCAGGAGTTCTCCTAATGTTGTTTAAATTAGACATTTACAAGCAAAAATAACTTAATAAAACCAGCATACGTTTATTATGAAATTATGTATTATTATTAACACTTTCAGTACGTACATTACAAACAACTATAACGGCTGCAGAGGAGCGATACTATAACGCAATATCGAACCAGCAAGACAAGGTCGACAAAAACCTTGTGAAGAACCTGGTCATTAATTATGTGCTTACCGCGGGACAAAACAATTTGAACAGGTAAGGTTTTGTGTATGTCATTAGCGAACCGCCTTACCACGGCTATATTGTACTCTCATTACTGAAGTAAATTTACTGAATGTATTTATAACTGGTAATCGAAGTGGCTAAAATCCTAAAACACTGCAAATACCCATCGTTAATAGGGTCTTATTGAACGTCACTCACTGCAACAAAAGCATAGGGGTGGGACTCGGGAGACGGCGGGCTCCCACTCACCTATTAATATATAGGAGTGTAGAGTAGAGTGTAAATTCTATATAACGACACTCAACTAACTCTATACAACGACTGTACCTTTTTTTGAAGTTACAAAGAGTTGTCGTTAAATGGAAAGAATAAAAATCTGTATTACAAAAAGTTTATTTCAGACTAGTGTTAGTAATTATATAAAAAACAATTCTTATTTGAACCCTATTGCATATAGTCTGTTATTTTCATCTGATGTCTATTGCTGCACAAGTAATTATGCTGTATTATCTTTAACTTATTTAGTACATTTTATTATTTAAATGTCGTTATTGAGGGTAGATATAATGCTATGTAGGGTGTATGATTGTACAAGACAAGCTAAACCAACCAAAGCCGAGTGATTTCGACGCTTTAGGGGGTTTGTCGTTAAATAAGGAAAGTTACATGGAGTTTACACTGTATATTAGGAAATTTCTTAACAAAATATGTGTTTAAAATAAGGTTCCGTACTAAAAGAGTCGGGGAGATTAAAAAAATTGGGTATTATTTTGTATGCACTTTCAAATGCTCGTCAAAAAAACTTGTAAAACTGGTAAAACATACGATAAACTTTATCGTTTGCTTTCTTAGAATTTTTGATAACATCTTATTTCAAATAAAATTTTCAAATACACACGAGCCGTGAACAATAAAAATCATGGATTAGGTTATCCAGTGTTACAACTTTTTTTGACGCTAGACTTTAAAAACATAAAAAATATTACTTTTGTTGCCTCATTATTTTCGCAATAATGATCGCACCGTTCTGCAGCTTAAACCCATAAGATCTGAAATACTTTGTTTACAGGACACAAACTCTACGCATCCTATCAACAGTCCTAGACTTTAACAAACAGGAATGCGAGAGGCTGGGCCTGGTTAAATCCAGTACAGCACCAGATAGTCTAGCTGCTGAGTTTGTAAAGTTCTTGCAAAATGAGTCAAGGCCCCGACCGCCTTTGCCGGATATTATGAGTATGCAGGCTCGAAGCTCTACACCGAGTACGTCGAGGAAAAGCTCGACTATTGGTAAGTGATTTTATTTGTTCGATTTTAAATGAAAGCTGAAAGCTTCTCAGTGGAAGCGTAACAAACGTACTACCCTGAACTCGCACCTTCTAAAATAATATTAATTTTTAATTGGTATAAAAAAATCTGTGGCGCTACAACCTTTTTAGGTCCGGGCCTCAGACTTCTGAATCTATTACATAATTTGTTACTCTAATAGGCAAGTAGGTGATCAGCCTCCTGTGCCTGATACAGTGACAGTTTGGGTCTAAGGCAAGCCGGTTTCCTCACGATGTTTTCCTTCACCGCCCGAGTGAATGTTAAATGGGCACATAGAAAGAAAGTCCATTAGTGCTCCGATCAAACGTACGACCTCAGGGATGATACTCGCACGATGAAGCCACTGCGGCTAGGTCAACACTGATAATTCATTAATGCTAATTTAGTTTGGTATACGATCCTCAAGCATGAGCATTTATTACAATGATATACTAAAGAACCTGAATTTAAGTAAAAGCCTTAAAACTTATCATTAAAGACGCAGAAGTGTGTCGGCCACATTCCGCATTGTAGAGTTATTTAAAAAATAATTACTATTGATGAATCCAACTCCAAACGGCTATACGATAAGCATTATATTAAGTTACCATACTTTTTATATCGAAGATAACGGCAAATTACATTTAGCCCTTTTCCGCAGGTCCACATCCAGTCTTCGATCTCGGCCACAGGCGAAATCCATCAACGGGCTCCAACAACCTACTATTCCAGAATTTAGATTCTGTGGAAACATCCTCGCAGAAATCTGCCGAATCTGAATCCAGGGTGATACAAATAACAACATTGGATACAGGGATAAACCAAACCAGAAATAATGAGGGAGCCATTTTGAAACATGTTTTGAAAGATATATAATGGAAAGGAGAACGTTTGGAAAAGTCATCCTTATTTCAATACATTAAGGTTGGTTTTGCAATAACCTTAGGATGTGGAATTAAATGTACCTTGCAATAGAGTGAAGAGTAAAAACAGCGTTTCCATGTTCTCTTGCTATCAAAGCTAAAGTAATTTGCAGAGTCGAGATTTACCAACTATGACTATTTCAAAATCCATACGGGAGCAGTACTAAGCGGTTTCGACTTTGTTTTTTACTTTAACTCATTAAATTTTAGCATAGACCGATTTAAATGTATCTGTCCGAGATTGTTATATGTTATATTAACCTAGTATTTTACGAATAACAGTACTATAGAAATGTAAATTCGTTTCAAAAGTTGCACTGAAATTTTTTGATCATTTCTAAATGTCTATAATGAGTTTAATAAAGTATGAAACGCTATGGACTTCGTAATATATAAGGGTGTAACCGGCGCTATGGTTTCTCATACAAATATTTTACTTAGACGTTTATGTTTGACAATCAACACCTTGTCAATGTCGTGAAGGATGTTAAAAATCTATAAATTCAAAGACAAAAAGTGACATTTAACCAGAAACAGACAAGACACTCATTCAAATCAAATATAGAACGCGTAGTAACCGCCATATACAGTGTAACCTCTACAAAACGACACTCAACGGACCGAGCATATTTCGACGTTACAAAGAGTTGTCGTTAAATAGAAAGAAGAAGAAAAAGTTTATTTCAGACTAGTGTTAGTAATTACATAAAAATGTATGTATGTCGTATGATGCCGACAGTTGAGTTAGTTGAGTTTATTACTGGATAGGACAATAAAGCGACAAAAGAACGTACAGAGTTCCGGAGTTTTAACTAATATTGGCAACTTAAAAAGTACTTTTTATTATTTCATTGTCGTTATTGAGGGTGGGGGTTATTCTATGTAGAGTGTGTCATTGTGTGGAAGATAAGCTAAACCAACCAAAGCCGAGTGATTTCGACGCTTTAGGGACTTTTTTTTAAATAAATCGAGTGACGTTACATGGAGTTTACACTGTATTTGCAAATACACTATTCTGTGATAAAGACCTTTAATTCGGATATTATCTGTGTTCTATTGTCACTCAAATTGATTTAGAATTACGCTTTTATGGTATTGTTATTCCTGTTTACGATTTTAAGAAGAAGTATGTGATAAATACGTATTTAAAAATGGCGTAAAAGTTCTAAATGCCTTATCTTTTTTAAAGATAGCACCAAGCTTTATTTCCTTGCACTTTAAGTTTAACATAGTTTTTAAACAGTCATAAAGCTTGGAGATGTCTTTAAATTATCTCATATTTTTTACGCCATTTTGTTTTATTAATAAATGCGTTCTATTTTATTAGATTTCTAATCTTTTCATAGATTGGAATAGTTTGTGTATTCAATTAAAACTTGTGCTATAGCCTTGATATATTTAAAATATCTTATGGCAATCAATCATGTACATAATGTCTTATTATCTATTGTTATTATCAGATTATTATTTGTAATTTCTCTTTCTTTGTCACTGACGAATCGTCTATATTCTTTTTAACTATTTGTTAATTTTAAAGCGTATTTCACTAAAAAAGCTTTTATGTAAAGTACTTTGTATATAATATTTATGAGTTGTGCCTTACATGTATATAGATATGAAAATTAGCAGAATTGAAATAATTCAGAAGTATCATGTTTTTATTTTAAAATGTAAATTAAATTTTCGGCATTCCCAACAATTTTTATTATTTTTTCTTGTTGAATGATTGTATTATAATTTCAATGTTTATTTTAAAGCATAATTTAATTTGTTAAATAATGCTTTTGTTGGTAAATTTTACTGGGATATTTTGCCATGCTTGCTTTATATGCATGAATTTTGTGAATAATGTATAATAGCAATATACCTTAAAAATAATTAAAGTTTTGTTTTATTTTCCTAGATATAACCTTACGACATGATTACGTATATATTTTATTTAAAGACAATGAATAATGATGGTGGTTGATAAAATGGATAAATTTTAAGAAATGTAATGCTTCGGTACCTATGTCACTTTGTATATACATATACTTATCTATGATAAAATCACGTGTCACAATGTTAAAAGAAAAATAATTTATCTTATGTTTTACATTAAAAATTAACATTACGTAGGTTAAAAATCGTAAAATTTTGTGATTTAAAGTTAAATTTAAATCGGACCCTTAAAATGAATAGGTATTCTACCAGAATGCACAGATTAATATTTTACAAAGTCCTACTACATTTTACCAAAACAACGCTAATGTTAACACCCTAAATACCTTATAAATACCCGCATCGCGAAATTAATAAACAGAAAACGGCGAAATCAAGTTTTAACGCACTCTACTATAATTAAAAGCGATTTTATTCCACCCCTTTGATTAACACCCACCCCACACCCTAATGCCACCTTTCTTCGCGTGGTCAGTACACCAGCAACTTCTTACAGACTATGTCGCCTTAGAAACTAAGTGCAAAACAAAAATAAACAAAATTTTGCTTTTCATTCCGCAAATTACAACAATAATAATGTATTCCACGTCAATTTTAAATCATTATTGCCTTAAAGCACACGCGCTTACAAAATTTAAATCGAGTTTAAATTATAACCTCTTTCGATAAATTAACATGTTTGACAGATCTAATTAAGCAAAATGACGTCAGTGACGTTTTTTCGCGCCAAAAAATCAATCATGGCCGCGGTGTTTCCGGTCGTTTTTTATCTTTTTAAAATCAAAATGAAATGACGAAACTGAATTTTGTGTGTTAGCGAAAATGTGAACCAGTGATATATTGTTAGACTGTGATTTTTTGACTGTATGTTTGTGAAGTGTTATCAGTGGATTTCATTTAAAAGTAAGTAAATTTTAATGTTCTTAAAAATATTTTCTAAAATACTGTCTTCTATAGTTCTCAGCGCCTTAAAATGTACATTGAACATGTAACGTCTTATTATATTCCACGAAAACAAAACTGATGTAGGTATGTCCATATTTTTAATCAATGTGGTCTTCTTGAACACAGCTTATTCGACACAACAGAGGTTAGAGACAAGTTTGTTTAAACAAGGAGTAGGTGAAAGAAAATAAAAGATTATCATCTTAAAGTGTTTTTATTTACCAATAAATACGTATTTAAACAATCTGTAATAATTACTTTACTACCGACTAATTAATTACTTTACTATATTGTACCTACTTTCGATGAGAAGACTCAACACTACAAATTCTATAACAATGACAAAATGTTTTCAATCAATATTTATAGGTTCATATAATTTATTTATAAATACTTACAACCTAAGTACGTATAGAAATATTATACTCCTATACTCTTTCAAACAAAAATAAATCCAATTCACTCTAGGCCAGTGATTCAAGGCAATTTTACTGTGAAGGGGGGTTTTTCGAAAATGTATTATTGCTTAAATAATTATTTATAATTTCAGTTCAATTTTCATTATATGTTTTAAAATGCACTTACTGTGTTACGTTAACAATTTTCAATTTTTGTTTCTTAAATTAATTTCTAAATTTAATTTCATAGCAATTCAATTAGATATATTAAAAATTATATATGGTCCATAGGATGGTCAAAAGAATTTTTGGAAGGCTAAGGTGGGGCATGGCACAAATCACTGGTCTAGGCACCTCCAAGCAATCGATAAATATATTTTAAACAAGATAAGTTTCCAACCAATTATGAAACTTCTATTTTAAGGTTAATCTTCAACATCATATGAATGAGGCACGTGTATACAACGCGCAAGTTGTTATAAGTACCTTATTAAAATTACTTAAAGGTCCATAAATAAGGTGTACCGCAAAACTCTGAATATCAAATTTTACTTTAGGGCAACGTGAGGTCGCATTCACCATTCGATGAGTCAAACATGAATCACAAATGATTAGGCGAAGACCTTTTAAAAATGCGTAGGTTTACATACAAATATGCATTTCCAAATTAATATAATAAATAATACAAGAAAATCTTATTCTCTTAGTCTAGTAACTATTAAAGCTTAACAAAAGTGTAGCCGCTGGCCTTTTTAAAAGCCGACAACACACACGTAATCCTTCTGGCTGTGTTACCATGTCACCGCCCATTTCGTGCACCTTAACATCAAAAGATTGAACTGCGCTTTGGACACCTACTTTTTGCAAAAACCATATTAATGTCTAACCCAGTGTGTAACTGCCTTTTTTTGTGCCATGCCCCACCTTAGTCTTTCTAAAATTCTTATGTAACATACATAATTTTTAGTTTTAATAATTAAATTGTTCATTTAAGATACTTAAATGATAGGTTTTGGGAAGAAATTACAATAAAATTGCTAGCGAAACAGTCAGTCAGTAAATTTTCAAAACATATAATGAAATACGTGGAGTCCATTTTTGACCCCTTAACAATTAAATTGCCCCATTGTGGGGCGTGGGCCCCACGTTGGGGGCCTTATAACTCTAACTGTCTAGGGGGTTGATCTTCGAAACAGATAGGCTTTCAGAAATTTATCTCTCAGATTATCTTTAATGATACATTTATAATTTGTAATAAAAGCATAGGGCAATGAAGGGCCTTATTTGACTTACTATCGTGACTATAGTAAACTTATTTATCATGGCTAACATTAAATAGTAGCAAAAAACTACTTTTAGTAGGGTTTAAAGTTGATTTGGGTTCTGAATAAGTCAAGTCATCTTTTATTTGAAAACAATTGTGTAATTCGCTTCAGTTATCCACTAAGGCCGATTTACCAATTTAGTTCCAATAATTGACGTTCTTGAACTTTTTGTGAGCAATTAATTGAATAACAAAAATATATTGTTTGTGAATGATCGACCTTTTCTTTGCCCACGCTCAGTCGCTTTATCGGTTTTTTATTAATTCAGAATAAAGTTATAAAATACTTTGTCACCATTTTGCTAGTAAATATATACTCCTAATCTATATTAATATTATAATTAG